TTTTTTTTCAAAGCTTGGTAATGCAAGGATTGAAGTGTTAGTCAACTTGTCTTTAATAAACTAAAAACTCTTATTTGCTGTTTTGGTCCATACAAATGGCCCTTTTTTTAAATAGTTGTCATGGAGCTTTCCTATGCTATTGAAATTATGTATAAAAAACCTATAAATGTTGCCAAACCATTAAAAGAACATAACTTGAAAATAGTTAGGTCAAGACCATTCCTAAATAGTTTTAACTTTCTTATTATCTATCATAATTTTGATGTCACACACAAAATATCTAAGAAAGGTCAATTTTTTAGTCATGAAACTACATTTTTTGTGATTGACATACATTTTATTCTATATTAAAATAGTAAAAAAAATTTCGGATGCACATAAAATATTTCTATCATTCGACTCGTAAATAAGTATGTCATCAAATTAAAAAACGATAAATTTACACATGAATGGTTTAAAGACTTGGTGTATGAGTCACATAGCATATAAAATTTCAAATTACATAATCGTATACTCATACAACCCTTCTTTGGGTTTAAAGACCATCATTCACTCTTTACCAAGATGAATGCATATCTAGTGGCGACCACTCTTCAAATTTATTTTCCTAAAAAATTGAACTCCTTTCAGCATGTTAAGCATATCATCTAGCCAACAAATAGAAAATTTTTACTTTTATAATTTTTATTAATAGCTCAATTTCGATACACATACATTAACTTCCATATTTCTTTAGGGTGAGTAAGACTGGTCTAACAAACGGGCTCATACGAGTTTGTATTACTCTTTTTTTTATAAGTCTATTAACTTATCCTTGTAATGTTCTCATTGACTCGACTAATAATATGGCAAGTTTGGTAGGCTTGCTCCTAGAATTAAGTCAATAGCATGTCGAATATCACGTTTGGGTAATAGTTCATCCGAAAGTTTATTAGGAAAAAGATTAATATATTTTTCCATAATAGGTTACAATGCATCTAATACTTCGATTGGAGGGAGACCTTCTTCTTTATCCATCAATGCAATCAATTCCTTCATCTCCCTAGCATCTTTAAAAGTTTTTTTATGAGTAAAAGAGATTGCCTTTCTACTTTAAAATTTTTAGTACATACATTCATACCTAAGAGAACAAGAATATTCATTTTCCCATCCTTATGAAAGATGTAAAAGTTTTTTTCTTTATACAATACTTGATAATCATATTGTCAAGGTCTCTCTAGGATGATATGACTCACATCCATATCGGAGACTTTAAATGCAAGTTCATCAAAATAGACACCACCAAGAAAACATAAAATTCTACACTCGTCGATTTGCTTCATATTGGTGACTATTTGAGATCTAATCAACTATTTGAGATTTTTGAGGGATTATTGTTTGAAGCTTGAGCTTGTCTATCACAAAATTAGCCATATCATTTTATCACATCTGCTATTAATGGCAAGATCACAAGCAAATTCTTCCACTTTGTATGTAGTTTTATGTATCTTGTTGCATTGTGATTCCGAAAAGCATTGCTTTATGGCATGCAATATATGTTGGATCACATTAAACAATTTTTTTCATCAAAATATGCATATTCAACCTTCTTACTATTTGTGTTGTATTGTTGCTTATCCTCACCATTAGCATCGTTATCATATGGCTAATCTTCTTCTATATTTGACTCCTAACCGATAAAATTAATTGTTTTAACTCTTTTTTGAGGACATGTTTTAGATCTATGCCCGTTTTTACCATAACTTAAATGTTTATCTAAGGATGGATAAGCAAAAGGGTTGGGGGTTGGTTGGTCCTCATTGGAGGTTATTCCATCTCTTTTGTTAAGGATTAGTACCTCGTTGGTATATTTATGTTACTAAGTTTGGTGTAAAACATCCACTTTCAATAGCTCCCTTTTTCTATTTATTTTGAGTGTTGTCCCAACTTGACATCTCACTTAGAAAAGTTTTATAAGATTGCTACCTATGAGTGAAAATTTTCTCTTTTTGTAACTCTACTTTAGTGGCTTATAGAATGGCTTCATTAAAGTGATGTTTGATAAAATTGAAAATTAAGCATCGAATTTGTTAAATACTAAATTTTAAGTGTTGAATAATTAAGTATTAAATATGTTACTAACAAGTCGTTTGGTATTTACCGAAAATTAAATGCCGAAAATAGTAAAATTGTTTGATAAGTACTCGTTGCTAAACATATTAAAGCTACATATATGATAATTTTAACCTTATAATTTTAACATGATATTTTTTAATATAAATAAAAATATATACATAGATATATTTGTGCATATAAATAAATAAACGAGTGAATAAAAATTCAATAAAAATGATTATTAATAAAAAAATTAAACACGATTTAAGATAGCACTAATTGTCATATCATACATAAAATAATAAATTCTCAAGTACTAATCAATTCATTTACAATTTAATCCGGCAAATTAATCATAAATGTTTGATCGGCTCGTGCTTACGTCTCTCCTTCGATGAATGATAAATTTACAATAACATTTGGTGTTTGATACATCACATAATCGCCATCAAATTGTTCAAAAAAATTGCTAGTAACAATTATTTTTTGAAGATAATTATGTGTTGCAACATATGCAATAACAATATTTTTCCGAAATGGAAATGGACATGAAGCCATTGTCTTTAGAATTGGAAATCTTGCTTTTAGAACATCAAATGCTCATAATGGAGAAAGAGTAGCATTTAGTGCACCGGTTAGGTCAAGTAGCAGGAGGAATAAGAAGGTAATAAGTATTCATGCATTGTTTCAACATTTTTAACATCAAACAAAAAAAATTTATACACGAAAAAAAACATGCGAGAAAAGCAATTAGTGTTCTTGTGCCTTTCTTTTTCCCGGGAGAAATATTTTGAAGTATTGTCAAATAAAAGCCACTTTTGAAGAAGTGGTGTTTCATGTTTACAAAAGTTGATGCTAACTATATGGTCATCTTTCACCCATCGGGGATTCCGGAAGAGCGACCTCTTCCTCTTGTAAAAAGTGATATGAAACTTAATTGTTTAAGTCAATTCACCGAGGAAATGGTGGCTTGTTCGGAGAGAGCAAGCAACTTACCACCATCATATTAAATTCTGTCTCCTTGCCTATGGCGCTTATGATTGCAAGGTCCTCCGGGATATCCCGTGACGGTGATCAAAAAGTATAAGAGTTGCACCTAATTATATACTTAGTTTTCTTTTAATTAATAGCTTGTTGATGATGATGGGATAGAAGTACCAATAATGGAGAAGGTCTCTTCTATTTTGACAATGGGGATAATATAGATTGTTTCTTAATTGGTTTGTATAACTAGGTTTATAATAATATATGAGGGCTACACGGTTATATTTAAAAAAATTTAAAAATCTTTCAACTTAGCGTACTAATAAAAAAATTTTAGGTTAAAAACTTTAACTGACCTAATTAAATAGATTTTGACTTAATTTAAATTTTAAATAAGAGATTATTTACATTATCAAACAAACTTTTTATATTAAGTACTATAACTTAATTTTTAAAGCTACTTAAATAGGTTATCAAACATACCCTAAGATTTCACACGTCTTGAATACTCATCATGTTCCGAATATTCGGTCTTAACCTACCAATGAATCTTGTTTCTCATTGGGACTCGATTTCAAATAGATCGATTATTTCGAGTGGATTGTAAAAAAAAAATTAGTTGAATAATTCCTTACAAAACAGTTTCTTTATGGACAACTTTGGTATTGGTGAAATAAAATTTGATCATAATTACGTGGTAAAAAATTAGCTTTCAATAATTTGCTTCATCTCGCTACTAGGAACTAATTCTTGATTTCTCCATACAAATTTGTGACGTTTGTTTTTCCACCCAATAAGTCGAAGCTATACCTTTTAATTTATATACTATCGGTTTCACCTTATTTTCCTCTAAAATGTTCATATAGTCAAAGAATCATTCTATCTCACTTAGTCGGTCTAGAAACTCCTCAACATATAACTGATCATTGAAGGTAAGAAGATCCATCTTCAATTGATAATCACCTCATTGATGATCAATGTTGGATTGTTTTTTGTAACCTCATTTTTTGTTATTCCTCGTACTCAAGTCTTCTTGGACCCTTTGTTTTTCATCACCATTGTCATAAAAAACTATTGGGATATGCCAACGTATTGGAACATCAAAATTCAATAGTTGATGATTTAGTTGGTCCCATGACATATGTGGGTCTTGCGGTAATAGTAATGACTCTACATAATCACGAGCGTCATCGTTGATAGTATAGTAACCCATAGCTCCATTAGCAATCCGTCAAATGAAGTTAGCAAGCCTTGGAGAACCTAGAGAGTCTCCCTTCGCAAGTTGATCGTGGTTATAATGTCATTAGAGTTTGAACCTTCAGGGTTAGTCATCTCGTTTTTTGCACAAAGTGATTTTTCAAGGGAAAATCTTCGCTCAAATACCACTTAATATGGAGAAACAATTAGAAAAATAAAAATTGGAATGCAACAAATCAACATAAGGTATAACGCACAAGTGCTAAAATTGACACGATCCGTAAATTCCACAACTCTCTTATATTATGGCAAAACACAAGTATTTTATTGATGATCGAATTATGCCGAAAACACACCCTAGATGAGCTTATATAGGCTACTTGTAACAAGCTTTTGTCCAGTTTTGACTATGACTGACAGTAACTTTTTCCAAAATAGCAATACATGTTGAAGCTTGGACTATGGTGACTATTATAATTTCTAAAATGCAAGCTAGAAAAATATATATTAAAGTTTGATCATAGTAAGTGCTACAATTTCAAAAATACACAATAGAAAATACAGCCTACTATCCTGCGTCACAGAAATTGCAAGAGAAGGTTTTTAAGTTTTGGTACGGTGCTGGTGCACAAAACAAAGAAACAATTTCCAAGCGGCACGGTTGGGGCAAGGCAACCTGTGTGACATCCTAATCATACCCAACTCTTTAAAGAAATAGTAAGACCATGATTTGCCTACGAACTAATCCGCTCGTGGATTCTCTTAACCTTGACGAGAAAAAAGAAATGAAGCTAGAGCCCTGCGGTACGACCCCAACATTTAATACTATCTGAGATTTTAAAACGAAGAAAAAAATACCCACCAATTTAAAAATGCAGAAGTTACTCTTCTATCCTCTCTAACTATTAACTTTAGAAATAATCACAATTCTGATATTTGTATTTTATCAAAAAAAAAAATTATTTTTCGTATTTTAGTTATTGTACATTTAATAGTCAAACAATCAAATATATTTATTAAAAAATATTATTGAGTGAAAAGAGCTAATTTTAAACACTAATAAGAAGAGTATGTACTTTCATAACAAATGCGTTTGATTGATATTTTTTAAGAATATAAAAGTTCAAACGCAAGTAGAAAAACTTGAACTAAAGAAACTAAAAATAGAAATTTTAATGACCAATTTTAATATGGAAAAAATCATGTTATTGATAAACCTAGACACCTTGTATTGAACAGATTGTTTTATCCAGACTGGAGAGGCAAAAAAGGGTCAAAAAAGAAGCAAAATATACAAGCATTGAGAGCTAGTGCTGATTTGTCAAGGCTAATCGCAACTTTGGACAACTATGATTTTGACGACGAAGCACGTACGTGCACAATGGTGAATAGCTAGCGAAATAATTATTAGGGTAAATTACAAAATAATTAATATTCTCACTCTCATACAATTACAATTGACGATGGAATCAGTACATACGCTACAAGGACACTAGTGATCGTTTCTTGCTTTTTTTTTTTTTTTTTAATTTCTACAGTTAAAATGACCATACTCTGACAAAATAGTGGTATTTGGTCATAATAATTGTACCAGTATTTGTTGAAAATTTTAAGATCATTAGTGTAACTTTTATAAACATTAATATTAACTAGGCAAGTGGGTTACAATTCATTTCTTTAGCGACGGAATATTGTGTAGCAAATTATAAGAAAAATTGGCACAATTTAAAAAATCGAATGGACGGACATTTATTTTAAAAAAAAACCACTTTTTCTTCCTCTATATTTCCTTTCCTCCATCCCTCACCCATGCTACTTGCTCTTCATCTATGTACCCACCAACACCAACCGCTCCGATCGCCCCACTCCATCCTCTCTCCTATCGTATTCTTGAGAACTTATTTCTCTCCAAAAAGTGTAAGCTTTTCTCTCTCTGCTTTTTTTTTTTTACTTATTTGATTTGTTACCGATTTTCATGTATGTTAATTGTTAGTAAATATGTTAAAAAACTCAAATTTATGTTATTTAAAATTTAATTCAATACGTTTTTTTATTGGAATTTTTTTAATTAATTAGGTTTGGTTGTTGATAAATTAGGATAAAATTTTGAGTTTCTAATTTTTTTTATATGATTGATTAATGGATCCTATTTATGTTGATATTTCGTGGAATTTAATTTAGGTTGATGTTACAATGATTAAAAATAAAGGTATTGAATTTCATAATTAAATTATTGGAAAGAAAATATGGTATTAAATTTTAAAACTAAGGTTTTATTTTAAAATTGACATAAAAATATAAGATTATTTGAATCTAGAATATAAAAATTGATAAATTTTTTTTTGATCAATTTTGTTTGATATAGATAAATATTCAATTGTTACATTAATTGTGATATTAATTATTCATATACAAATTTGTTAATTGCTAGTAAATATATTAAGAAATTCAAATTTATGTTGTTAATTGTATGAATTGTGATATTAATTATTCATATACAAATTTAATTATTGATAAATATTTGATATAGATAAATATGTAGTTGTTGTATAAATATCATTCATATACAAAATTGTTCTAGCCAATTAATCCGCCATTGTCGATCTATAACATTGTCAACAATCACTCTAACCATTCTAGCATCGCCGAAAAACCACCACGGCCACATTCCAGTAACCAACAGAACTTTCTAGCTACTCCAACTCTGCCAAGTAAGTTATCCGAACACCAATTTGTAATTTGTATCATAGAATAATTTTAAGTTAATTGTGTTAATTGAAATTGAATTTATTTTATTAATGATTGTTGAAATGTGTCGAGATACGTCGTGACGCATCGAACCCGAGGGTTCGAAGACCCTTAAAAATTAAGAAGAAATAATGTAGTGTCAATACTTTGTGATGGAGCTGAAAGGATAAGGATTAAGTTTTAATTTAAATAGATTATGTGAGGTAAGTATCAATCTCGGTGAACGTAAATTGATTGATTTGGTTGTTTAACTATGATTGATTAAATGTTTCCAATTATGTTTGTTTGTGTTGTCAATTAAAGAATTAATTGTTGCTTGATATTTGTGTGACGATAATTAGTTGAATATGTGAATGCGGTAAGATATGCCAATATTTGCATATTTGTCATTTTGATTACAAATCTCGATACCTGAAATCGTGTTGGCGTGAGCCTTAATTCGAATTGCTTTTCGCCAATTTTCATCCATCATGCTTGTCTTTTTGTTCTTCTTTTTTTTTACTAAAATTGTATCATTTTTTTGATTTTTATCTATTATGCTTTGTTTACCTATGTATGTTTAAAAATCATGACAATTGAAGTCACGTCAAGTTCGAACCATTATTTTAATTATTTTTGCCAATTTTGCCTATTATGCATGTTTGGTGCATGTGTTGTATATTTTGAATGTGTTATTATTATTTTTTTGTATAGGTGGAGTCTCAAGTCATTGTGAAATGCCCAATTTACATGGGAGACATTGATAAAATTTTGTTAGATTTTTAAGAAAATTAGTAATTAAGTAATTAGGCATTGGCTTGAATATACGAAAAGAAAAAATGAGGTTGGATCATGCATGGATAGACTTTAGGCTTATCAAATGGATTTTAATTTAGGATTTCGTAAATGGAGTTGAAGAATTTACTCTATTTATTGTTAGTCATCTTGAAAGTATGGACGAAAGTAAGATAAGGTATCCTTATAATCACTATACATGTTAGAATCATAGATATAAAGAGATTGATATGGTTAAATATAATTTGGTGAAATACAAGTTTGTGTTCGGATATTATAAGTGGATACATCATGAAGAAATTGAGTCGAGCTAGTTATTTTGACTCGAAAATTTAGGATGAAGGCAAATATATTTTTAATGAACCCTCAATGCATATCAAACAATAATGATAGATGTAATTGGTCCATCATTTAATCAATTTAACACAAACGTGTTACCAAATCCTAACACGTAAGATTTTTATGACATATTAAATGCATCAAATAGAAAGACTTAGCTTAGATGTGAAAATCACTCACAAATATCCACAATGACCATATGTTAAATCTTAAGTAAAAAATATATATATTTTTTTAAAAATTACTATGATGACTTATGTCAACTAATAAAAAAGTTAATGCCTAGTAATAATTGTATGACATATGACTTTTACGAGTATGAAAAAAATAGTGACCGAGATGGGTTTTTCGGTTAAAAAGATTCATTGTTGTAATAATAATCGCACGATTTATTGGGAATAAGACAATAAATTAACTACTTGTAAGTTTTGTTCCCATTCTCGATATCGAAGAACCAAGTAAGAGAAAAAGATGTCCTATATAAAAAAAAACTATACTACTTTTTGCATAACCCTATAGTTATAACGATTGTATATGTTGAATGCTATAGCTAAAGACATATATGTGGCATGTCGAACATGAGGTTAAAGATGCGAGTGTTATACATCAATGCTTCAACTCTATTGTATAATGATATTTTGATCTAACCGATCCTTCTTTCACATTAGAAAAAAGAATGTTAGATCGATAGTTTATGCTAATGTATTTTAGCTTTTTGGTCAATCGAGTATGTAATATTTTTCATGGCTAGTAATTGTCATATTGTAAAATTTACCATTGTAGATGTGTTTGAAGGAAGAGTATATGTTCTTAACTATAATTTTTTCAAGAACCAAGAAATCCAAAGAATATGTTAGATGTGTTCTTATAGCCTTTAATTACTTAGTTGGTTCACTTGTGGAAAGTAGGTGTGTTGACCTACAATATGCGTAGAAAGCATAATTTTCTAATATACACCCCGGATATATGGAAATTTAATGACTTTCTGCATATTTAATGTTGTCATATTAGAGTACTAAAGAGAAGTTAGCATGTCCTTATTGCATGAAGAATTTTGATGCATTCATCCTTTAGAGAAGACTTCGAAATTTTTTTGTTGAATGCCAGAATCGAGAAGAGATAAAGTCTCGAGAAAATATCCTAATGTCCGTTTCGTAATGGATAAATAATAAAAAATAGTACTGTTTGACTAGGTTAGACAACTCAAGTTTCTTGATAAATATTTGTCAAACATGGTTAAATGTGTGGATATAACCAAATACAAATTGTATGGTATGAAACGTCATGATCGCCATGTGTTTATACAGAGATTTGTACCTATTGTATTTTGAGAGCAATTTCCAATGAATATTTAGCAAGTACTTATATAATTGTGTTTATTCTTCAAGGACTTGACTTCTACATTCATAAAGGTAAAAGATATGATATGCCTTTAGGTAGAGATACCAATAATTTTATGTAAATTGAAGCATATATTTCTACCAAGTTTCTTTAACTTCATAGAATATATTTCAATCCACTTGGCATATAAAGTAAGGATAAAGGAATCAATGCAATATTGATGGATATATCTATTTATAAAAGTAATGATATTGATTTTGAATGTTAAATTAAATAATTTTTTAATCATCTCTGATTCACCTTATTAGTGTTTTAGGTATATTCGCAAGCTTGAAAGTGATGTAAGAAATAAAATAAAAATAACAAGGTCAATATGCAATGTATATATAGTGAAAGAAGTGTCATCGTTTTGTTCACACTACTTCAAACCTCATGTGAATACTAGACATTAGAAAAGTGCTACATAACATTAGTGTGGTGAAGAAGCGAATGACGATATCGAAGGGATGCTTTTTATATTCAAACGTCAAGATAAACCATTTAGTTGAGCAAAAGCATAAAGGTTGATTTGAAGAAGAATATGAAGCAGTCCATCATTATATATTATTGAACTATGAAGAAATTAAACCTTCCACCGAGTAAGGGTAAAAAAAAAAAAAACTCTTATGGTTTACTCGTCGTATTCTACCTTGTTAGTTAACCATCATACTAAAGACACTCACTCAAGGATATTCCTTTTTCTCGATAGCTCGTACATTGCCTAATTACAATAAAAATAACCTTTATATACCAATGCATAAGATTGATGCTCAACTTAAAAATGAGTTTGCCTCCTAGTTAGAACATATGAGAGTATTCTCATTTTAGACCTTGTTTTGTTAGTAAATTATAACTATTAAATGTTAACTAAATTTTTGGTATGGATGTTGATTTTACGGACATATTATGCACTATCCAACTTCTACAATAGTTCATAAAAGAGCTTGTAAAAAGGCAACTTATGAGTGGTTAGTCACGATATTTAGAATAATTTGAACTCCTTCAATGTTTCCTTACCTTGGGTTATTGGTGGTGATTTGATGAGTGCTTGATTTGTATGCTCTTTTGCATTGAAATTTTCGGTGCTCTTATATTATATTTAGTAAATTGAGATTCAGATAATGATTTTAGGTTTTGTAGGAA